ACCCTGGGCACCTGCAGGTGTGCCTGAAGCCACTGTGCAGCTCCACTGAGGGATAGAGAAGCCTGGACACCCCAGTGCACGCCAGGAAGGTCCCCACTCCCCCGCTATGGGCTGCTATAGAGACGGCAGTGGGAGTGATTTTCCAATGTCTTTACCATGCTATTAACCTTGGTGAGGCCCCAGCCTCTCCAGACCCTGGCTCAAAGTGTCATTTCACTGAATTTGGGCTGATGCCTCTGCATCCCCTGCCCAAGTAAAAAGGGGCTGAGAAACCCGGCTCCCCAGCACATCTAGGACAATACCCGCCATGCTGCAATGGGCTGCTGTGAGACCGAGTGATAAGGAAACCATACTCCCTACAGTTTCCTGCCAACACTGCCTGCCTGAGAAGGGCACCACCCTTTCTGGTCACATTCTGAGAGTTTAAAGCCAGGCAGCACCCTGCTCTCAGGATGAATTCAGGAAGCTCTGTGTAGCTGCAGAGGGACAGGGAGCCCAAGCTCTCTGACATGCACCTAAGGCAACTCCACCACCCTGCTATGGGTTGCTGGAACCCGAGATGCACAGTGTGGCACTCCTCCCAGCATCTTGCCCATGCTATTTGCCTGGAACAAGCCTCACCCTCTCCGGTTAAAGAGCAAAGGTTCCATTTGGGGATCCTGGCGCTGAGCAACACCCCGGCCTCAGCTTGAGTTTCGGCTGACACAACTATAGCCCCACACTGCTGGAGAGGAACAAGGGCATCCAACCTCTCCTACAGACACCTGGGACAAGTCTCACCACCCGGCCATAGGCTCCTGTGAGACTGAGATGCAAGCAGATCACACTCCCGAGTCTATTGTTTGTGTTGTTCACCTGAAAGGGACCCTGCTGTCTTTGACCAGAAGCCAAGAGATTACACATTTTGAGAGTTTAATCTGGGCTAAGCTCTGCCATCAAGCTGAGTTCAGGTGAAATGGCTGTAGCCACCACCAAACAGCAAGGGACAAGGGAAATAAGCTCTCCTAAGCACACTTAGGACAAGACTCACCACCTTGCCATGGGCAGCTGTGGGACTGAAGACTGGTCTGCCCAATGCCCATTGCAACTACTAGTAACACCACTTGGGACCACCACTGCTACTGCCACTTCCCATGTCATATCAGCTCTGTCACACAGAGCTGGTCCTCTGCTCCCTGAGGCCCCAAGAGAATTTTCTCCCTGCCCCAACACACTAACACAGCTACCATGGGGAGTACTTTGAAGGTGACTGTAGGGATACTCAGCAAGAAACTATGTAGCACTTTTCCAAGATGAGTTTGTGAACTTAACTGTCAAGCCTCATATAAGTGGCGTTGCACCAAACTGAAAATCTTCTGTGTAGCAAAGAACACAATAAAGTGAAGAGACAATCTATGGAATGGGAGAAAGTATTTGCTGGGTATATAACTGTTAATGCCCGAGTGCTTATGGCCTTAAAAAATTGGTATATTGAAATCCTCACCCTCAAGATGATGATATCAAAAGGTGGGGTCTTTGGGAGGTGCTTAATCTAGGGATGGAGACCTCATGGATGGGATTACTGCTCTTAAAAATGTGGGACTTCGTTCTTTCCAGCCAGCACCGAGTGATGGGCATCTCTCGGGACAACTGACACAAGCGCCGCAAGACCCGGGGCAAGAGAAAGCCCTACCACAAGAAGCAGAAGGATGAGTTGGGACACCCCGCAGGTAACACTAAGATCGGCCCCCACGGAATACATACCATCCGTGTTCCAGGAGGTAACAAGAAATACTGTGCCCTGAGGCTGGATGTGGGAAACTTCTCCTGGGGCTCAGAGTGTTGTACTAGGAAAACAAGGATCATTGATGTTGCCTACAATGCAGCCAATACTGAGCTGGTTCGTACCAAGACCTTGGTGAAGAACTGCCTTGTGCTTATTGACAGGACACCATACCCACAGTGGTATGAGTCCCACTATGCACTCCCCCTGGGCCGCAAGAAAGGAGCAAAGCTGACTCCAGAAGAAGAAGAGATTTGAAACAAAAAACATTCAAAAAAATTCAGAAGAAATATGATGAAAGGAAAAAGAACGCCAAAATAAGCAGGCTTCTGGAGGAGCAGCTCCAGCAGGGCAAGCTGCTTGCATGCATTGCATCAAGACCAGGCCAGTGTGGCCGAGCAGATGGCCATGTGCTAGAGGGCAAGGAGCTGGAGTTCTATCTGAGGAAAATCAAGGCCCAGAAGGCCAAATAATTCTTCCTCTCTCTACCTTTTGTTTTGTTTTGTTGAAGTTGTCGTTGTTTAGCTGGCCCTGGGTTTGAACCCACCAGCCTTCACGCATGTGGCTGGTGCTGTAACCACTGTGCTACAGGCAAGAAGCCTTCTTCTCTTCTGTCTTGGTTCATGTAATAAACCTTCATTATTCAAAAAAAAAAAAAAATGTGGGACTTCATCAGGCACTGACTCTGCCAGACTCCTCAGCCTCCAAAATGGTGAGATATAAATTTCTGTTGTTTATAAGCCACTATGCTTATAGTATTTTGTCATGGAAGGCCAATGAACTAAGAGAGATAGTTGGTACCAAGAAGTGGGGGTGCTTCTATAACAAATATTTTAAATGTATAAGTGGCTTTGAAACTGGGTAATGAGTAAAGGCTGGAAGTGTTTGGTAGTCTGCTCAGAGAAAGGCTACCTTGCTATGAATGGGCCATTTAGGATGATTCTGCTGAGGCTCAGACACTCTCAGTCTTCTTAACGAATGCCTCTGTAGTTCATAACTACTAAGGTTATGGGTAGAAATAAGAAAGGCTACTCTGCTGTGGTCTCGGACAGAAACGAGAGACATGTTGGACAATGGAAGAAAGGACGTCCTTATTAAAAATGACATGGAGTTTGGCTAACTGGTGTTTACTTCTAGTGTTTCATGGAAGGTACAATTTGTGAGTGATGGAATTGAATATTTAGCTGAGGAAATCTTTAAGCAAAATGTTGAAAGTACAGCTTGGACCCACAGTAAAATGAGACAAGAGAGAAATAACTTAAAGATGGAATTGTTAGCCACAGGCAAGCAGAACTTGAACTTCTGGAAAATTGTATCTATCTGTGTTGGAGAAATATACAAATGCCAGTTTACAAGAGAACAAGGGTGTGGCCAAGTTATCCTTTGACAAAGGAGATTAGTATGGGTCACCCCTCTCAGTGGAACCCAGGTTCTATTGATCAAGACAGTGAGGAGATTTAGTCAGCCATTTTAAAAGAAACCAGAACCTACTACCAAGACAGTGGAAGAATGATCCCCAAAGCATTTCAGAGATCACTGGAGCTGACTCTGCCATCACAAACCCAGACTACTAGGGCCTGAGGGAAAAAATGATTTCAAATGGGAGGTGACTGCTGCCCAGCGCTGCCTCACATTGTAGGCTCTGCTTCCCAAACTCTTGCCACGGTCCTAGGCTGCCCCAGGCGCAGCTCTGGAAAGCTCCAGTTTGGTGTGCACAACCCCAGCAAAGCTACGAGGACAGAGCTATCCAAAGCTGTGGAGGCTGGACTGCCACCAGAAGGGGTCCACGAGGCAGGACCTCCACATCAGTAGACCTGGAGGGCAGAGCATCAGGCCAGAAAAGATGACTATTGAACCTTATGGTTTTGAAAATTTGCTCAGTTTTGAAACTTGCTTGATAACTGTCACTCCTGTGGCATATTTTTCTCTTTTGAAATGGGAATGTCTGTCCTATGTTGTTCCATCAGGGTGTGTTGGCTGCACATAATCTATTTGATTTCACAGGTTCACAACAAGCAATTTGCCTCAGAATGAATTATACCTTAAGTCTCACCCATATCTAATTTAGATGATAATTAGATGAGACCATGGACTTAGATTTTAAAATTGATGCTAGCATTAGTTAAGACTGTCTTAAGACTTTCAGGTCTATTGGGGTGAGATTAATGTATTTTGTGTGAGAGAAGGGCACGAATCTTGGGGTTAAGAACAGAATGCTATGGTCTAAATGTTTATATCCTCCCAAAATTTGTATGTTGAAATCCTCATCCTCAAGGTAATGGAAGTATGAGGTGGGGCCATACAGAGATGACTAGGTCATGGGGGCACAGCCCTCATACATGAGATTAATGTCCTTATAGAAAGTCCAAGAGGACACCCCTCCCTCCTTTTCCCATGTGAGCTGAGAATGAGAAGGTGGCTGTCTATGGAGAAACAGGCCCTCACCAGTCCCACATCACCTGGCACCTTGATCTTGGACTTCCCAGGCACTGGAACTGTGAGAAATAAATTTCCGTTATTTATAAGCCACCCAGCCTACAGCACGCTTTATAGCAGCCCAAATGGTGTAAGGCCATAGCTAAAGGAAATGGAATCAGTGTCTCGCAGAGACACGTGCACTCTTCCACTCACTGCAGCATCATTTGTAACAGTGAGGATACAGAATAACCCATGTCCCTGGGCAGATGAATGGATAAAGACAATATGGTGCTATTATTAACATTCCATTAACAGTAATGGGATATTATTCAACCTTGGAAAAGAAGAAAATCTTGTCATTTGGAACAATGTGGATGAAACTGGAGGACATTATGCTAAGTGAAATAAATTAGGCACAGAAAGTTAAACACTGCATGATCTCACTTAGATGTGTACTTTTAAAAAGTAGAGGTCACAGAAGCAAAGAGTAGTATGTTGGCTGCCAGGGACTAGGGGATGGGGAAAAAGAAGAGATGTTGGTCAAAGAATACAAAGTTTCAATTATGCAGGATGCATAAATTCTGGAGATCTAAGTGCAGCATGGTGACCATAATTATTAATGCTATATTCTAGTTTTGAAATTTTCTAAGGAAGTAGATCTTAAATGTTCTCACCACATCCCCCCCCCCAAAAAATGTAACTGTGAGGTACTTAGCTGTTACTTAGCTTGATTTAATCATTTCACAATGTATACACGTATCAAAACATCACATTGTGTCCCTTAAATATACACAATTTTTTATTTGCTAACTATCTTAATAAAGCTGGGAGGCAGGAGGCATTGTTGCAACCATCTTTGAAAAATACAATGTGACACACTAACAAATCATAGTAAGTTAAGGAGAAATAATTAAATTTATGTCACTTCCAAAACCCACTCCATATTCCTGAAAGAATTTTCATAATCATATTTAGAATTGTTTCAAATACATTACTCTCAGCCTCTTTCCTTACGTTTCCTATTTTTTCATCATATTTCCTCCTTGCTGATTCTTCCTTTTTCTCTTTTTCTTCTTTTGATTCATGAGCATATTCTTTTTCTATTTTTTTAATTTGATCATTAAATTCATCAGTGTACATTGTCCTCAAAACCTCTGCCTGTTGCCTCAGCCTTTCCTCTGTGTCCTTGTATATGGCATCAGAAAAGTAAGAGCCGCCATTTTTTTCCACCATCCTATCTATCAGCTCCACCAGCTCCCACACTTGACTTTCCTTCTCCACCTTATCTGTTGCGGGGCTGTTGCCAAAGGCACAGTACCTGCCCCCACACTCCTTGATGATACCTTTCAGGTTCACAGATTCTTTTACAAAATCGTCTAGAGTTTGTTTATGGTCCTCCAACTCTTCTTTGCGGGTGAACAAAATAATCATGTGCTTCATGGCTGCGTCGCCAAAGACAGCCTTGATCAATGCAACGGTTTTCTGCTCTTCTTCCGTGAAGCGGCCCAGTGGCATGACCAGGACAATGGCATGAGGCCCTGGGCAAGAAAAGAGAACACAGCGGCTGATTTCCTTGCAAGTGGTAAGCAGGCTTTCTTTGGTGTCAAAGAGCCCTGGGGTGTCAACCACAAGAAGTTCTCTCTCCTTCCATTCCCGGGATGCTTTCTGACATTTCTCGGTAACAGCGTGGGCAGCAATTTTAGATGCGAAGACTTTCTCTCCGAGGATGGTGTTTGCTGTCGCACTTTTCCCACTTCCGGTTTTCCCTACCAGAACAATCCTCAGTGAGCGGTCCTGATACTCAGCCATATTCACGCTAAGAAGCTCGGGAACTTAGGCTCGTACAAGACCTCAAGGAGGGAAAGGAGAAGAAATAAAGACCAATGTAAGTGAGTGGGAACCATTCCCAGCCCCCTTTTCTTCTTCCTCTCTCTCCCAGAAAATTTATAATATTCTATTATCCATATTGATCCCAGTAGAGAATGAAAGATGAAACAATTCAAGGACTATGGGAGGAATAATAAAGTAGTTAAAGAGTTTCCCCACAAAACGGTGCCGGGTCCAGATGGTTTCACAGGCGAATTCTATTAAACCTTCTAAGATCTGATCATCTGGGTGCTACTTGAACTATTTCTTACTATACAAAAAGAAGGAAAACTTTCAATTCTTCATAGGCATGTAGAATATCAATTCCAAAAGTTGACAAAGATTTCACCAATAAAAAAGCTACGTATGTGTCTCATTAGTGAATATTGATACAAATATCCAAAATAAAGAATTAGACATTAATAAATAATGCACATTAAGTGTGAATTATTTCAGAAATACTAGGGTGGGTCAACATGAGAAAATTGGTTGTTACAATACATAACATTAATAGATTAAGAAGAAAATTACCTAGATGCAGAAAGGAAATTTACTAAATTTAACACTGATTCGTGTTTAAATCATTTCATAAAATATAAATTAATAAATACTTCTTTAACATGATTTTATACTAACATAAATATTTTAAATTTTGTCATCTTCTATCCTGGAGCTAAAAATGCTGATTATGAAGTAGATTTGGATGCAGAGAAAAGCAAGTTAGCCTGGACAATCAAGAAAAGGAAGAACAAGGAAAGACCAGTTTTACCAGAAAGTGAAACAGTAGAGCCTGTATAATTAGAGAGGTGTGAGGTTGGTGAGGGAATGGAGACAGACTGCAAAACAAAAGCAGAAAATTCAGAAATAGACAGTGCTGGGGCAGTGCCTGTGGCTCAATGGGTAGGGTGCCAGCCCCATATACTGAGAGTGGCAGGTTCAAACCTGGCCCTGGCCAACTAAAACAGCAATGACAACTGCAACAACAACAAATTCAGCTGGGTGTTGTGGTGGGTGCCTGTAGTCCCAGCTATTCAGGAAGCTGTGAAGCAAAAGAATCACTTAAGCCCAAAAGTTGGAGATTGCCGTGAGCTGTCATGCCACATCACTCTACCAAGGGTGACAAAGTGAGACTCTGTCTCAAAAAAACAGAAAGAAAAAGAAAAGAAATGGACATGCTCATATACTTATTTATATTCAGTTATGTTACATTTATATTATATAAAATAGCATCTAATATCAATGTGAGAAAAGAACAATTTTATAAGCAACATTGGGAAAACTATATAATCACATAGAAAAAGATTAAATTGCATCCAATTCCCCCTATCGTGCAAATTCCTAATAGATCAGAAAAGTAATGTAGAAAATTAGCCCACATAAATAAAAGAAAATCAACCCATATAAACAAATAATAAAAAATAAATAGCCCATATAAATGCATACTTTTTTTGTAAACTGGGAGTGGGGAAAATGTTTCTAAGATTTTAAATAGTGTAAGGAAAAGACTGAAAATTTTGATTACATAAAAATCTAAAAAATGATGTAAGGCACAGAAAACCATAGACAAATTAAAACACAAATATCAAATTAGGAAAATATTCCTTTCAATTTATATCAGAGAGGACTCATTTTCCTATTATACAAGTAATATCTAAAAGTAGAGAAACAAAAGACAAACAACTTGATAGGAAATTTAATAAGAGATGAGAATAGTTCAAGGAAAGAAATGTCCCTCAAACATATGAAATATATTCAAATTCATTTATCATAGAGAAAAATGAATGCGCAAGAAATAAAATATAATTACACCAAGATAACTATTTCTCAGCTATAGGTATGGCAAAAACATCTTGGTTTGTTGGTGTAATTTGGTGGTAAAGATAGAGGAGAAAAAGGTCATCTCCCGCAAGTCCAGTAGGAATAAAAATACAGTCCGCCACCTCTGGAGGAGACGACAGCGGCATCTTGCAAAAGTATGTGTGCATTTACTCTTTGATTATCAATCCCAGTTTTAGGATTTATCCCAAGTCTACACTGGCAAAAACAAAGAAGGAAGTATACAGAAAGCTATTCATTTTTGTTAGATGCCGGAAAGGAGTCCAGGCATTTTGTTGGATGCTGGAAAGTCTGCCAGTGATTACAGAGTCAGCAGACTTAACATCAGGGATGTCCTAGGAAACCCTCTCAGATTATGATTCTCTTTTTGGCAATAAGAGCAATTTAGACAGGTTGTCTCTAAATTGCCTTCCAGAACTAAAAATCCTCCTTGGGAGCCCTTAATTTCCTATGAAGCATATTCCGCAAGCTCCACAATCTATCACAAGAGCCACAGGGTGCAAGGCGCAGCAGGCAGTGGTGGGCGTCCTGTGAAATACCAGCCATGCAGGTGCCACCGGTAAATCTCCTCACGGCCCTGGTCTAACCTATACAGCCACCACCCAAGCAGCACCCTCCATGCAGTGGTGCTGGCAAAGTGTCCTGCCCCTCCTCAAAGCAGAGTCCATCCCACATGCACCCTGTCCCCTACTGCCCTTTGCAGCCCTGCAGCACAGGGCTCTCTTCTTGGACAGACTCACCTCTGGAGCGAGTGGATGAGTTCTCAAGTTTTCTCCAAAGAGGCTGTTTGAGCTGGTGCTTTTAACTTTAAGATAAAAGCATTTTTATCTCCTAAAACCTTTGAGTTCAGGAAGCTCAGATTGGGTGGAGCCAATGAAGAAACTTTCTGCTTTTAAAGAGACAGAGATACTGTTCCATAATTTGGTAGATGCTTTGCTTTTACTGAGTATGAGTTGAAACCTTTTGCCCATGTGCCTGCTGTAACACTAACATTTCCCAGGGCTGTATTTTGTTGGGGGTTATAGTGATAGGTCCAAAAGGTCCTTTATTAAATGATCTAAATATTGCCCAGAAAGCATGAGGCACAGTGTCTGCTTGTATTCCCTGGGTGGAGGGAGAGACTGAGGGCTGATTTGGGGAAGAAGGAAGACGGGCATGTACCTTGGTGTTTCCAAATATAGTGCCAGAGGATATTACGGTCATTCAGGAAGGTCTGAAGTTACTTATTCAAAAATTAACAGCACTGAGGTTCAAAGCCAAAAGAGTCTAAACTATTCAAAACCAACAACTATTCATTCAAAAAAAAAAATGAAGGTGAGAACTGAAAAAGTCTGCCAGTGATTACAGAGCTTCTCACAAATTTTCATATGGTTTCTCCAAGTTTGAAAGTATGCATGGTCTTTGGGACTTTGTGATGTGAGCTATTTTCACTGGGCATGGATATAGAGAGAAGAGAACACTTGTACACTGTTGGTGGCTTTGCAAACTAGTATACCCTTTTTGGAAATAAGTATGGAGGATTCTCAAAGAGCTAAAAGTAGACCTTCCAGCAGTACATTGAGCTCCATAGAGACAGCACTGGGGCAAGTGACAGCCGGATGGGCACTGGGGACTCTGTGCCTCACTGAGGAAAAATAACTAAACATGGGCAAAGGAGATCCTAAGAAGCCAAGAGGCAAAATGTCATCATGTGCATTCTTTGTGCAAACTTGTCGGGAGGAGCACAAGAAGAAGCACCCAGATGCTTCAGTCAGCTTCTCAGAATTTTCTAAGAAGTGCCCAGAGGGGTGGAAGGCCATGTCTGCTAAAAGAGAAAGGAAAATTTGAAGATATGGGAAAAGAGGACAAGGCCCGTTATGAAAGAGAAATGAAAACCTGTATCCCTCCTAAAGGGGAAACAAAAAGAAGTTCAAGGATCCCAATGCACCCAAGAGGCCTCCTTCGGCCTTTTTCTTGTTCTGTTCTGGCAATCGCCCCCAAATCAAAGGAGAACATCCCAGCCTATCCATTGGTGATACTGCAGAGAAGCTGGGAGAGACATGGAATAAAACTGCTGCGGGTGACAGGCACCCTTATGAAAAGAAGGCTGCAAAGCTGAAGGAAAAAACGAAAAGGATATTGCTGCAGACCGAGCTAAAGGAAAGGCTGATGCACCAAAAAAGGGAGGCGTCAAGGCTGAAAAAAGCAAGAAAAAGAAGGAAGAGGAGGAAGATGATGAAGAAGATGATGATGATGAATAAGTTGGTTCTAGCGCAGTTTTTTTTCCCTTATCTATAAAGCATTTAACCCCCCCGTACACAACTCACTCCTTTTGAAGAAAAAAATTGAAATATAAGGCTGTGTAAGATTTGTTTTTAAACTGTACAGTGTCTTTTTTTGTATAGTTAATACACTACCGAATGTGTCTTTAGATAGCCCTGTCCTGGCGGTATTTTCAATAGCCACTAACCTTGCCTGGTACAGTCTGGGGGTTGTAAATTGGCATGGAAATTTAAAGCAGGTTCCTGTTGGTGCACAGCACAGATTAGTTATATATGGGGATGGTAGTTTTTTCATCTTCAGTTGTCTCTGATGCAGCTTATATGAAATAAGTGTTGTTCTGTTAACTGAATACCATTCTGTAATTACAAAAAAAAAGTTGCAACTGTTTTGTTGACATTCTGAATGCTTCTAATACAATTTTTTTATTAAAAAAAATAATAAAAGTAGACCTTCCATTTGATTCTGCAATCCTGGTAATAGGTATCTACCTAGAAGGAAAAAAAACATTTTATCATAAGAACATTTGCAATTGAATGTTTATAGCAGCTGAATTCGCAAGCACAAAGATAATGGCAACAACCCAAGTGCCCATCAACCCATGAATAGATAAGTAAAATGTGGCATATGTACACCATGGAGAACTATTCAGCCGTAAAAAAGATAGAGACTTTATATCTTTTGTATTTGCCTGGATGGAGTTGAGGAACATTCTTCTTAGTAAAGTATCTCAAGATTAGAAAAACAAGCTTCCCATGTAGAGAATACTAATTTGAAACTAGTAGATGCACAACTACAGGCTTACAATTAAATTCAAGAAGAGGGGAGGAAAAAGGGGGAAAGAGTCTCAGTAAATTCCCCCTGACAGATACAATGTAGGGATAAAGGGCACACCTCCTGGGTGAAGGACTCAACTACAACTCAGACTTTTCCTAAGACATGAAAACAATGTCAAGTGATCATATGTACCCTTATATTAATGCAAAATTTTAAAAAATGAAATCTGCATGATCTGATGAGTAAAGATGCACCCAGGTGTCAGGCCCTACTTGCCTTCTCTATCTTCCTGCCATCCCTACATCCTCCTGCCCCAGGCTCAAGCAGAGATACACGTTCCCAGATTTACTGAATGGGTCCTCTGGAAAATATTGACGTTTGTCAGGTAGCTTCCCAAAGCTTTTGTGGTTGACCATATGCTCTAGTTGGTTTTTGTCTTTTATATCACTGTAAGAACATGGCATATGTTTTTGATTTTATATGTGTGTGTGTACACACAAAAAAACCTCAGCGCTTTTTCTGCTACCTTGATCTTAGATAAATGCAAACTTAACTTATTAAAACACTGTGGTACTAAAAACAAGAGATTAAAGGATGAATTCCTCTCACTGCCCTGGCTCTTACACAAATTGTCTATGTGACCTTGGCATATCAGTTTCCTATTGCTACCATAACAAATCACTGAGAATTTAGTGACTTAAAACAGCACAGATTTATCCTCTTATAGTTCTGGAAGTCAAAAGTCTAAAATGAGTCTCATATGAATATGGTCAAGGTGTTAGCAGGGTTCCTTCTCAAGGCTCCAGGGGAGAATCAACTCCTTGTGCCCCCAGTTCCTGTGCGCTGCCAACATTCTTTGGCTTGTGGCTGCATAACACCAGTCTCTGCTGCCATCTTCACGTTGCCTTCTTCCTCCTGTGACCTTCTTGCCTCCCTCCCTTGTGATGATATTTAGACCTACACAGATAATCCAGGATAATCTCCCCATCTCTAAATCCTTGGTTTACTCACATTTGCAAAGATTTTTTTGCCATAGAAGTAATACTCATAGGTTCTTCCATTGTAAAATCTGTATCAGTTTCTGGGGCTGCTCTAAGAAATTACTGCAGTAAGCTCGCCTGGGGGCAGTAATTAATTGTCTCACGGTTCTTGAGGCCAGAAGTTCAAAATCAAGCTGTCATAATGCCCATGTACTCTCTCTGAAGACCCTAAGGGAGGATCCTTAGGTTTTCCGTGTCTTCCAGCAGTTGCTGGCAACTCTGGCATTCTCTGGCCTGTAAATGCATCACTCCAATGTCTGCCTTGGTTGCCACGTGGTTTTCTCAGCCAAATTTCACTCATTATTGAAGGACAAGAGTCATCTTATTCTCCACAAAACCTCATCTTTCGTTGATCACATCACAAAGACAATATTTCCAAGTATGGTCATATTCTCAAGTACTAGGGGTTAGGACTTAAACATATCTTTGGGGGGGCACACAATTCAACCCATAGCAGGTGATAAGAAGGGGACAGGAATATGCAATTTGAGAGTGAAAACCCACAGATCTCTTCCTTTCCAGTTCCAGTTGTAAGTAGGAAGTTTGGCCCATGTAAGCAGTTTTCGAGTGTCACTGGTGCTTGGGAGACTTCTACTATGCAGGGCTCAGCATCACAGTGCTCCCCCAGGAGCTGAGCAGCTATAGTCATGCCAGCTTCAAGACTCCTGTCCTTGAGAAGCATGTTTCAGTGGAGCAGTGCCCACCTGAAATTTCAGGCATCGTTTCTGGGCATACCTATGGTACACTGTTGTGAGGAGTGAAGGAGATGATCTTATAGAGGCCAGTTTCTGAAACATACTAGGCATCCAGTAAATCTTGATAATGATCCTGTCTTACTCTTTTTAGGCTGCTGCCACAAAATACTATAGATTGGATGGTTTATTGAAGAAAAAAAACCCAGAAATGTATTTCTCACAATTCTGGAGCCTGGGAAGTATAAGATAAGGTGTTGGAAGATTTGGTGTCTGAGGAGGGCCTGTTACCTGGTTCATAGATGACACCTTCTCACTGTGTTCTCACAGGATGAAAGGGAGAAGGGTCTTTCTGCAATCTCTTCTTTAAGGACACTAATCCCAGTGATTGGGTTATGTCTACCTCATAACCCAATCACCTCCCAAAGTCCCCACCTCTTAATACCATCACAAGGGGGATTAGGTTTCAGTATATGAATGGGGAGGCACAAATAGCCATACCATAGGAGGGCCTTTCATTACAAGTTGCTTACTGCTCTCTGCCTGAGTTCTGTATTTCTACTGCCAAAGCTTTGCTTATGCTATTTCTCCCTTTTTTTTCCTGTTAGAGACCAATTTTCAAAAAGGCAAAATCATGACTCTCATGCAAATACAAAATAAACACGTCAAAGATTGTACTTAACTCATTGATTAATGAGAGAGCCAGTAAGATATTACAATTGGTTCAAAGAACATTTGAGAATTTGGAATAATTTGTAGGGAGATACAATTTCAGGATTAGACACAAAACTGTTTAGGGCCGAAGACAGTCATAAAATGTAACTTTTGGATGTATGTCCCACCAGGCAGAAAATTATTTGCATACGTATAAGACAATTACCTACAAGTTACCTCTCTGCCTTACAGAGATGTAAAATATCTCAGACAATAGTCAAGCATCACAGAGAAAGAATAGCCAAAAATCTCTTTTCTCTATTTCTACATTTTGAATCGTTTTCATGGCATTCACCACCTTGTGATCATACATAATCT